TGTTGTTTTTTGAGACTGGGTCTTGCTATATAGTCCAGCCTGGCCTTGAACTCATTAGTCCAGGGTGATCCTCCTGCCGCAGCCTCCCAAGTGCTGGGATTACAGGCATATGCCACCACACCTAGCTTTTTTTTTTTCCAAGGCAGACCTTTTTTTTGTACTGGAAATCAGGGCCTCTCGATTGCCAACCAGGTACTGTGACACTGAGCTATATCCCCAGCCATGGCTTTTTAAATTTTTTTTTTGAGATAGGTTTCCCCTATGTTACCCAGGCTGGCCTTGGTCTCTGGGGCTGAAGCAGTCCTCTTACCTCACCTCCCTCCTACCTGGGACTGCAGGTGCCTGCCATCTCTCTCTGCCCACCTCATCCAGTACCTACTTCTTCATCTCATTGAGAATTCTCCTTCGATGTCCTGCAGCCCCCAGCCTGAAGTCAAGTGCCTGTTACATCATCTCATGTGGGAACGGGGTGCCCTCACGACTTTAAAGGCGCGAGCCCTCTGACTGCCCCCACTTAACAAGAGCAGACTGGCAGGCCAGGGATTTAGCTCAGTGGCACCGTGCCTGCCTCACAAGCACAAGGTCCTGAGTTCAGTCCTCCGTACCAAGAAAAAAGAAAGGCTGGGAGAGTTATTCAAGGTCAGGTGGTGAACACTTGAGGTCAGGACTACTCCAGGGGCAGTCACATACCAGGACTGGGCTGGGACAGTGGCAGGGACCCTAGCAGCTCATGGCCCCACCTCAGCCAGCTCTTCGGGGCCTCCTCAGGCCCTTCCCAAGCTCCTTATGACGTAGGCTTCTATAGTCCAGAGCTCCATCCTTACTGCTCTACTTACATCTGACTCAATCTAGGAAATGTTTAAAAATCTCACGGCTTTGTTCTGGTGTGTTACTCCAGTGATTTCAGCCCTTGGTCTGGGGAAGCAGCCAGTAGGTGCTATTGTAAGAGAGTACTTGTGTGTAAAGAATCCTTTTTTCATTCTGTCACCCCATTTGTTCAGCCAGAGTAAAAGAAATTCTGAGTTTAGGTGTTGGTTTTTTTGGTACCGGGGATCGAACTTGGGTCCTTATGCTTGCAGGGAAGGCAGTGGAACCACTGAGCTAAATCCCTGGCTCTGAGTTTAGTTTTGAACAACAATGACTACTGCTGCCACTCCTGCCCAGGCCTCCTGAGGGAGTGTGAGGCCCTGCTCAAGGGTTTCATGCTGCATGGGCTGTGGCAGGGCCTTTGGGTAGTGCTCTCTATGCTCCCTAGGCCCGTACAAAGCTTTAATGCAGAGTTTTTTTGTCTTTGTTTTCGAGGTAAGTTCTGGCTATATAGCTTAGGCTGGTGTTGAAGTCATTATGTAGCCCAGGCTGGCTTTAAACTCATGGCAATCATCCTGCCTCAGCCTCCTGAATGCTGGGATTACAGGTGTGTACCACCACACCCAGCTTCATTTTTGTTTTTGTGGTACTGGGGATTGAACCCAGGACCTTTGCATTGAGCTACATCCCTCCTCTCTTTTTTATTTTTTATTTTGAGACAGTCTCACTAAGTTGCCCATGCTGGGCTAAAACTTCAATCCTCCTCTCTCAGCCTCCCAGAGTGTTGGGATTATAAGGATGTTCCACCATACCCAGCAAGGAGCATTTCATATGAGTATCATGTGCTGAAAAAAGAACTAGAAGTCTGGAATAGAAAATGACCGTGTCAGGCTGGGGATTTAGGTCAGTGGTGCTGCTGCCTGCCTCAAAAGCACAAGGTCCTGAGCTCGATCCCCGATACCCCCCCCCCCAAAAAATGAGCATGTCATCAGGTATAGTGGCCTGAGCCGATAGTCCCAACTATTCGGGAGGCTCCAGGAGTTCTGGGCTGCAGGACAGTATGCCAATCAGGTGGCCACAATAAGGTCAGTATCAATATGGTGACCTCCTAAGCTTTGGGGACACCAAGGTGCCTGAGGAGAGGTGATCTGGCCCTGGTTGGAAAGGGAGCTGGTCAAAACTCTCCCACTTGTGTTGATTAGAAAATGTCCATATCTTCTTGAAGAATGGAAAATTTTAGTGTCCTTTTTATTCTGTGAACTTCCCAGGGAGGAGCCCTAAAAGAAACAGCTGCCTCGGAATTGAGAGGGCAACAGCATTCTAGAGAATGATGTGAACAAGTCCACAGCTTGGCGAGCACCTGCGTTTTATGAGGGGTTTTTTTTTTTGGTACCAGGGGTCAAACTCATATGAGGGGTTTCTTACAGAGCACTTGGAGTGGCTTATGGCAACTGCACTCCTGGGCTTGCCATAGCCTGCTTACCAAGTTACTGTCTATATATGACTCTAAGTGAAACAGCAGAAAACAGAGGCAAAAGACAGAGTCCAGGGAGAAGTTCTGTGTTTGTATTCACTATTCCCATCCCATGCTTACCAGAGTCCCATGGTTGCAGCCAGTGCTGCCAATGTGGATGGATGACCTCGTGGTGCTGCAGCCTGGCACACAGCCTCAGCCTCTCAAGGGGCCACTACAAAATGCTGTTGCTCCAGAGAGGGTTTGGAGGACTTTTCCCCACACCTCTTGATTTAGCCACACAGGCTCCTCTGAATGACAGCTGGGCTGAGTGTGGTGGAGGTGGCTTGGAGAAGTCAGACAAAGAAGGATACAGGAGGTAACACAGTGTTTCTGCTTTTCCCTAGTTAAGGAAACTCTCCATCCATCAGAACAAAAACCTCACAATGCACATGTTCTAATCAAAGCTGTCCCTTTCCATTCAGGAGTGATAGTAGCATATGCTTGTAATCCCAGCACTTAGGAGGCTGAGGCAGGATGATCTTAAATTGGAGGCCAGCCTGGACTACACAGCAAGACCCATCTCAAAAAGACAAGGGGCCTCAGGCTGGGGATTTAGCTCAGTGGTTCCGGCACCTGCCTCGAAAGCGCAAGGTCCCGAGTTTGATCCCCAGTACCAAAAAAAAAAAAAAAAAAGACAAGGGGCTGGACGGGCGTGGTGGCTCACACCTGTAATGCCAGGACTCAAGAGTCTGAGGCAGGAGGATCGCCATGAGTTCGAGCCCAGCCTAACATATATAGCCGAGACCCTGTCTCAAAAAACAAAAACAAAACAACAAAAGCCAAAGAAAGGGGCCTGGGATTTAGCTCAGTGGTTCCCTGCCTGCTTCGCGAGCGCAAGGTCCTGAGTTCGATCCCCGGTACCAAAAGAAAAAGAAAAGCCAAAGAAAGATAAGCAGCTATCTGTCTCAAACGCAGGCTAGGCAAGCAGGTTCAAGGAACCAGAAGAGTGGAGGAGCTGCAAAAGGGAGTGAAAACGGAAGGACTACAAGTCCCACGATGCACCTGAAGGCGGTGCAAGCCACCGCGCTCTCACCGCCTGCCTCAGAGGACAACGGCGTTCTCCTGGGGCCAAGATGGCCTCCCCCGGAGTCGGGTGGCTGTGATTCCATGAGGCCTCCACCCCCGGAACGCCTTTCCAATGGGCACCACCCTTGTGTCCATGGCGACAGCATCGGCTGCGGCTGCCAGCTTGCTTAAGGAGCTGGGAGCTAACGCTAAGGGGGAGCGGGGTCCCTTCGCGTCCGCGGGGACCGCGGTCCTGTGAACGCAGAGGCCCAGGAAACCCCCAGGAAGAGCCGAAGCGGGCAAAGGGCGGCCATGAGCTACCAGCTGAGCCCAGCTTCAGGTCGCTAGGAGCAGCTCCTCGCCACCTCGGGTGGGCAGTGCCTGCCGTGGACAACTCTTGCCCAAAGGGTCTTAGCCATCGGGTGCCTGGCCCCAGTGTGTTCCGGGACAGGGAAAGGGTAGGCCTAGAAGACACTTGATCTTCAGCTATATTTTAAATTAAGGTTTTGTTCTGGGGATGAAACCCAGTACAAACATAAGTTAACTAGCATGGTTAACTAGCTATACTTTTTTTTTTTTTTTGGTGCCAGGGATTGAACTCAGGACTTTGCATTTCCGAGGCAGGCAGCAGCACCACTGAGCTAAATCCCCGGCCCAACTAGCTATACTTTAAAGGAGAGATATCCCCACTTCTTCCAGCCATCCCTCCACCCGTTCAGGAACAACAAGAAAAACATAGTCTCCACTCCTGCCAGCTGTGTGCAACTCTTAGAAGCACCAAAGTATGTTGTATGATCCAGCATAATCCCAGATGGATGGGGACTGTCAGAGAATCCACATTTCACCGGCATCCCAGACCCCAATACCCTTGGAAACACCCTGTTCAGTAGGATTGTTCTGGTCTTTTTGTTTTGCTTGTTTTTTGAGACAAGGTTTCACTATGTAGTTCAGCCTGGCCTTGAACTCACTACATAGCTCAGGCTGGCCTCAAACTTGCAATGATCCTCCTCAGCCTCTCAAGTGCTAGGATTATAGGCTTGCACCAGTCTGATATATATCTCATCTTCCCTCCTCTTAGAATCTAAAAAGATGGAGCCAAGCACCTGTAAGAACAGCGAAACTGAGGAAGACTATGTTGAGGAAGAGGAATCTGAGGAGGAGTGTATTAAAGAGGAAGCTCTGGTTCTTTCTAACCTTTCAAAGCAGGCCTTTTCAGAGGCTGACCATAAGGCATTTGAGGATGGGGTTCCCTTGGTTATTATAGCCAAGAAAATCATAGCTCCAGCTGATACAGATGACATAGAAGTTGGGAGGACACAAAGAAGGCGGAAACGCAGGTAACTTTTCCCTGGACCCCCTCATCTCCCTTGCTCCAGAGTCATCCCCTGGCCTCCCTTCAGCATTTGGGGGGCTGGAGCTGGTATCTAAGCTCTTCCCATTACCCTTCAAAACAGAAGAGGAAAAGCTGGACCATCATTAACCTTTTGGTATCAAAATAAAACAAAATTGGGCTGGGGATTTAGCTCAGTGGTTCCGCCGCCTGCCTTGCAAGTGCAAGGACCTGAGTTCGATCCCCGGTACCAAAAAAAAAAAAATGAATTGTGAATGTCTTTGGTATCTCTTCATCTGGGTGCCTGGCAGCCCAGAAGTCTGTCCTTCCTTCCCCTTCTGCTGATTTCTGCCATTCCTCCATTCCAGACCCCTAACCATCAACCTGACCAACTGCAAGTATGAGAGTGGTAAGCGCCATTGTAGACAAGGGGCTTTCTTTCTTGCTCTGGAGACAGAACTCCAATCAGGCTCCTGGCCCCCTGGCTCAGCTACTGGCAGCTGAGATATTACTGTTCCAATTAGTCTTCCTTGTAGGGAGCGTATCTCCACAATTAGCTAACAAGAAAAATATAAATGGCAGAGAGTCACCATTGCCCCAGCCTTCCCGCACTTTAGCAGAGACAAGACAAAGTTAAAATAGGTTTTTTTTCCAAGGCTAGGAGTAGAGCTCAGTGGTATTGTTTTCCAGCCTGCACATGGCCCTGGGTTCAGTTCTCAGCATTGCAAAACAACAAAAACAAGTCAGTATGGTGCACATCTGTAATCCTAGCTCTCTGGGAGGCTGAGGGAGCAGGATGGCAAGTTTCAGTCCAGCCTGGATAACTTAGTGAGAACCTGTTTTCAAAATAAAAAATTAAAAAAGGACTGGTGTCAGAGCTCAGTGTGAAGGACTTGCTTTAATCCTGAGTACTACAAAAACAATTCTTTCAAGGAAGCTTTGAAGAGACCAGAAATTTGGGAGAAAAAAAAATCTATCCAAGTCATCGTTCTCCTTCTTCCCTTTTATCCCCCCAGCATCTGTGTAAGGGGCCACCAGAGTGTTAGGTGCCATTGTGGTCCCCACATAGCATCAGCTCTGGAGGCCAGAAACTGTCCTGACTGAGGCTCTCATTTCCACTACCACACATGCTGGAAGCACACAACAGCCTCATGAACTTGGAGTTGCCACCTGGTAACTAAGACACACAGAGCTAAGGTACAGTCACCTTCCTCCTCAACCTACCCTTCAGTCAGGTCTGTTCCATCCCCGACCCAGCTAGTGTTTCAGGGCTTGCTGCTGGCACCCAGGTTGGCAGTGCTGACTGCCTTGTCTCTGCAGTGTGCCGGGCAGCCCAAATGTGTGGCCTGAAGGAGGTGGGGGAGGACGAAGGGTGGACTGTGTACTGGACAGACTGCTCGGTCTCACTGGAGCGAGTCATGGAAATGAAGAGATTTCAGGTACCAATGTTCTAGCCTAAAAGTCAGGATCCCCCCCACACACTGCCCAGGCCCCCGAGACTAGCCAGGCTGGGCCCCTGCAGACAGGAGAGGGCTCATGCAGGCTCTTTCTCAATGGAAATGTGCTCCTCTTGGCTCTCCGCGGCTTCCCTTATCTGGAGGCCCCAGAAGGCACATCCTATCACATCACCTGTATTGCCTAGTGCCATCTGTGTCCAGCCTGCCTCCCCATCTCAGGGAGGAGACTGGGTGGCAGCTTCCAGGCTGACAGCTGAAGAATCTATCTGTCTAAGCAGCTTAGCTTTATATCCCACATCTGTGAGGAGAGACTGCAGGATCCTAGCTGGCAGCAAGAAAGTCAGGAAAGATGGACCAGATCCACATGGTATTTTTGTTGTTGTTTTGAGACATAATCTCACTGTGTAGTTCAGGCTGGCCTTGAACTTACCAGTAGCCCAAGCTGGCCTCAAACTCATGACAATCCTCCTGCCTCAGCCTCCCCAGTGCTGGGATTACAGGTGTGTGCCACCACCCCTGGCCACCTGGTATTTTTATTATCCTCTCATCAGGTCTTTGGGATGATTAGGCATAAAATAAGTCATGCATCACTTAATGATGGGTATGCATTTCTGAAGAATGTGTTGATAGGCAATGTCATTGCTATGTGAGCATCATAAATGTCCTTGAACAGGTTAAGATGGCTTGCCAGGCATGGTGCCACATGCCTGTAATCCCAGCACTCAGGAGGATGAGGCAGGAGAATTGCTGCAAGTTTGAGGCCAACCTGAGCTACATAGTGAGTTCAAGGCCAGCCTGAACTATACAGTGAGGCTCTATCTCAAACAAACAAACAAACAAACAAAAACAAACCCTAAACTAAAAGACGGCTATGATGACATATAATCTTAGAGGATTTTGCAGCCTGTCATTGACCAAAATGTTCTCACACAGTGCATGACTGAAATTAAAAAGGGTCTCCAGGCACATTTTATTTTATTTTATTTTTTTTGGTACCGGGGATTGAACTCAGGTTCTTGCACTTGTGCAGCAGGCAGCAAAACCACTGAGCTAAATCCCCGGCCCTCCAGAAACATTTTTGGGGGGGACCAGGAAGGGAGTTGGGGAAACTGTACCCTGTCTCACAGCTAGTCTTAAGAGGGGAGCCCAAGAGACAGCAAATGATAGAAGTGCTCAAGAATCTTCAAAGGAGGGCCAGGCATGGTGGCACATGCCTGTAATCCCAGCACATGGGAGCCTGAAGCAAGAAGAGAACCCTGAGTTCATGTGAGACCCTATTTCAAAACAGAAACAAAAAAATTCTGAGAAGGGACATGCAGGGAGCAATGTCCAATGAGGATGACAATGATTAACAGCTTTCATCCAGGGCTTCCTGTGCAACCATCAGACACTGTCAGTGCTTTAATATCAGTACTCCAGTGATTCCTTAAAAACACTCCTGAGCAGCAGGTATCCTTTTATTAAAGAGAGGGCACCAAGCTGGATGTGGTGGCACATGCCTGGAATCCGAGCACCCAGGAGGCTGAGGCAGGACAATTACCAGTTTGAAAGCGTCCTGGGCCACATCATTCCAGGCCAACCTGGACTACATAGCAAGACCCTGTTAAAAAAAAAAGACCAATGCTCAGAAATCCTAGAGAAAGCCAGGGAGAAGGCACTTAGCCATCACACAGTGCTGCTTGCTGACTCTGCAGAACAGAACAGCCAGGGACTTCTGGTAGGCACCATGGCAATGCCATGTCCTCTCTGGGTGCCACGCAGACACTGCCTGCAGCTGGTTCTTAGTTTTTTGTTTTTCGTGGGTTTTTTTACAGTACTGGGGATGGGACACAGAGCCTTCATACTGAGTTACATCCCACCAGGGCCTTTCCATTGACCTACATACCCAGACTTTAAAAAAATTTTTGTTTTTAAAATTTTTGAGACAGGGTCTTGCTAAGTCACTAAGTTGCCCAGGCTGGGCCCAAACTTGCAACCCTCATGACTCCGATTTCTAGCTTGCTGAGATTACAAGCATGTGCCACCACACTCAGCTTGGCTTCTGTTTTGTATTTTAGGGAATGTTTTCTTCTTATGGCTTTGTGCTGTCGTGTATTATTATTCCTTTTTTTTTTTGGTCCAGGGGATTGAACTCAGGACCTTGTGTTTTCGAGGCAGGTGGCAGAACCACTGAGCTAAATCCACAGCCCATGCATTATTATTCTTATAAGCACTAGTCCCAGTGGTCTGGGGATGTTAGAAGGGTAGCTAGAGGCCCAAGGTCCTGGCTAATGTACACTCTGTCACCACCCCTGGTGTCCTAACTTCTGTGTGGATGTGTGTGTTTTGGATGGAGGCCAAGGAGAGCTTGTAAGGCATCTTCTGGTTTTTACCCTTGCAGTGCCAGGTATAGCACTTCCTTCCACTGTGATTTCCCCCTTAACCTTCTCAGTTCTCTTCCACTGTTCTCTGGGATGCCTAGCTCCCAGGATCTGCCATTTAGTCTGGGCAGGAATGCAATATAACCAACTGGATCTGTTTCAGAAAATCAACGACTTCCCTGGCATGACAGAACTCTGCTGCAAGGATCTGCTGGCACGGAACCTCAACCGCATGCAGAAACTCTACCCGTCCGAGTACAACATCTTCCCCCGCACCTGGTGCCTCCCTGCAGAGTGAGTGGCATCCTGGGGGCCTGAAAGGGGTCACACCCTGAGTTTCCTCCTAATCTGGTCTTGTGACAGGCATATTTCAGAGTGATGGATGTGGACCGAGTAAGTTTCATCTGGTCAAAGAAAAGTGGTTCTGATGCTGAGTGCCCATGAAGAGTATGGACTAGATAGCAAGAAGATTGTCACAGGGCCCTGGGACAGCTGTGATGCACAGGAACCTTCTGACTAGCCCCTCTCCGCACACAGCTATGGGGACTTCCAGTCCTATGGTTGGCAGCGAAAAATGCGCACTTACATCTGCAAGCCAGACAGCGGCTGTCAGGGCCAGGGTATCTTCATCACCTGAAACCCCAAGGAGATCAAACCAGGAGAACATATGATCTGCCAGCAATACATCTCCAAGGTGAAGGATGCTTGGGACCGCAAGGCCTCTCTCTGGCACTGGGGGGCCTGGTCTTCCCCAAATCCAGGGAGGAAACTGTGTCAGGTACCTATCTGGTCTGCTTTCCCTGCTGTCCCTGAGGCGCATGGAGCCATGGTTCAGAGCCAGTCGTGTGTGACAGGTTTTTTTACCCTTTCCTTGGCACCATTTCCTTACTGTTAAATGGGAACAGTAGCAGTAGCTACTTGAGATGGTTGTGGGGGTGCTAAGTTCTGCATTCAGACCACTTAGTGTACAGCATTTATCATTTAATCATTTATCCATACAAACGTTTATCATTATTCCCTCTGGCTTTGTGCGCTCTCAGCCCTTCCTCATTGATGGGTTTAAGTTTGACATGCGAATTTATGTCCTGATCACATCCTGTGACCCTCTCCGGATCTTCATGTATGAGGAGGGCCTGGCCCGCTTTGCCACCATGCCCTACGTGGAGCCCAGCCATAACAACCTTGTGAGGGGCTGGCCAGCACCCACTTCTCCTCCAGTGCTGTGGTGCTGAGGTGCTAGGGAGAAATGAGCTAGAGGTAGATCAGGGTTATCCAAGAGCAAGGAAGGAGGCCAGGGAGCTCCTCGGCATCTGGCTATGGGGAGAGCATTTGGTGAGTGGTGACAGAGAAAAGGCCCAGCAGCCTCTGCTCTCCAGGACCTTACAGGATAGTCCCTTGTGAAAAGGGCCAGGAGAGCAGCAATCCTAGGGAGGGGTGGATAGCAAGAAAGCAATGAAGGGTGGAAGGGAGGGTGGCATTGTGGCCACCTGAGCACACTGGACTCTTGCTTCACAGGAGAATGTCTGCATGCACCTCACCAACTATGCTATCAACAAACACAAGAATTTTGTCCGGGATGATGCTGTGGGCAGTAAGAGGTATTACCTGTCTTTCTTCTCGCGCTTCCTATGCTGCCTCAGGTGCTCATGAAACCCAGCCAACTCTTGGGAGGCTGACTGCCTGGGAACACTCTGCCTTTATAGAGCGAGGTCTTGTGTCTAAGCTTGGAGTGCAGCCCCGAGCTCCACCCTAACATCTAATCCCTGCTCCCAGCTACTAGCAGCCCTTTGAACCAGAGAATGAGGGTTAGCACCAGGGAGCCTCTACCCTGGCCAGGCCCTGCTGGCATAGAAACGGGTCTTCCTCTGAGCCCTGGGCCTCACAGGAAGCTGTCGACACTCAACGCCTGGCTTTGAGAGGATGGTTATGACCCCCGAGAGCTGTGGGGAGACATTGAGGGCATCATCATCAAAACCATCTCGGCTTACTCTGTGCTGCGCCACAACTACCAAACCTGTTTTCCCCAATACCTGAGTGGAGGTACATGTGCCTGTTTTGAGATCCTTGGTTTTGACATCTTGCTGGACCACAAGCTGAAGCCCTGGCTGCTGGAGGTGAGGTTTCTCTCCTGGGCTCTGCAGGACCAAGGTCCAGAGGCCTCCCCGAATGGGATGTCTGGGGTAGGCCCACACTCAGTGGGGGAACAGCAGGTGGGGGACATGGAAGCCCTGAGGTGGGCAGGAACCAGCTGAAGTCATAGGATGAATCTCTGGCCTCCACCATAGCAATCAGGTATGGGGTTCCTGGTGCTGCTGGCATTTCCCTTGCCTTGAGGACAGCAGATCCGTAGAGTTGGGCTGTCCAATCTGCTCTCATCCACCAGTGAACTGGGGGGAATCTATGCCAAGTCCTGTGGCCCTGGAAACTGAGCTTCCAGCCTCTTTAGCAGAGGCCACATGGGAGATGTCTCTCCTAGACCCCCCAGTTAGGCCTGCAAGAGACCACCAGCTGCTCAGGGGGCTGAGCAAGGGAGCAATGGTGACTCCTCTCTGCAGGTGAACCACTCCCCAAGCTTCACCACAGACTCCCACCTCGACAGAGAGGTGAAGGATGCGCTTCTCTGTGATGCCATGACCCTTGTCACCCTCCAGGGCTGCGACAAAACGAAGGTGATTGAAGAGGACAAGTGGCGAGTCAAGGAGCGGCTTTTGCTGTGCCACCAGCAGCCAAGAGAAGCCAGGTGTGCCAGGTGTCTGACATGTTTAGTTGTGTAACGTGTCTTCTTTGTTATTATTTTTTGGTTTTTTGTAGTTTTTTTTTTTTGTTCTGGGGATTGAACTCGGGTCCTTGCGTTTGCGAGGCAGGCGGTGGAACCTCTGAGCTAAATCCCCAGCCCGTTATTACTTTTTGGAGAGTAAAAGTCCTCTGGAAGGAGAAGTCTACCTGACCCTAATTAGTTATTAAAAACATTTTTTGCATAGATAATACATTCATGTTTGCTTGGATAATACATCAAATGTCACAGACAGTATGTTCAAAATACAAACGATACAGTGAATGGTCTTTCTCCTTCCTGTTTCCAGCTACCTAATTTTCCTCTGGGGACCCAATCAAAAGTCCTACTGTAATGTGTATATGTTCATAAGCATTTAAACCACAAATATATATGTACTTATACAAAATATTCTCCTCCCTTGTTTACGCAGACAGTTGCATAATTCCACACTGTACCCTGCACAGCAATGTGTTTTAAGCTGTTTTCCTATTAGCACATAACAAGCTGTATGTACTTGGAGCAGCTGGTTTGTTTAATGCAGTTCCTCTAGAAACCTAGTCCTGAGAATCTTTGTATAACGAAAGACAGATAACAGTTGTTCATTAACAAGAGAATTGTTTAAATCAATGTTGGTCCCTCATTTTTCATTGAAAAATGGATTACAGCCAGGCATGGTGGTGCACACCTGTAATCCCAGCACTTGGGAGGCTGAGGCAGGAGGGTCACCATGAGTTCAAGGCCAGCTACATAGGGTTACACAGTGAGTTCAAGCTAGCCTGAATTAATAGTGAGACCCTATCTCAAAAAGCTAAAACAACAGGGCTGGGGATTTAGCTCAGTGGTTTCACTGCCTGTGCAAACGCGAGGACCCGAGTTCAATGCCCCGTACCAAAAAAAAAACAAAAAAAACCTAAAATAACAACAACAACAAAATGGATTACAAACATGGTAGCTAGTTATTGGTACTAAAATTATAATTTGTTTATGATACATAAAATGAAGCTTGAGTAGGCTTGGGTTATTCCTGTAGTGACACTGTTTTTCCCACTTGCATTCCAGTATGCAGGACAGTGTGTATTGGACTCCTCATCACAGCTTTAGGGTCTGGCACACAGCAGGCACTCAAATGCTTGGGATGAATGGCAGTGAAGGATAACAGTAAACACCCTGAGTGTTCCCACAGATTACACTGTGCACCTGTGAATCGTGTCTTTCGATGAGGAAAAAAATCCGGGAAACTACTGAACTAAAGAAACAAAATAAGCTAGGTGTAGTGGTGCATGCCTTTAATCGAGCATGCCGAGACTGAGGTGAGAGGATTACAAATTCAAGGTCAGCCTGGGCAATTTAGTGAGACCCTATTCCCTACCCCACCCTGCCAAAGGCCTGGTGATATAGCTCAGTGCTTCCTGGGTTCAATCCCCAGTACTATGGAAGGAAGGAAGGAAAGAAGAAGGAAGGAAGGAAAGAAGAAGGAAGGAAGGAAGGAAGGAAGGAAGGAAGGAAGGAAGGAAGG